AGATATGATGCTATCGATGAAGAAAAGGAGACCAAAGAAGATGACCAGCCAATAAAGAAACCTAACACCTAATTTCCATCTAAGTTCATTTTGACAAAGTCAATCTCCATCTAAGTTCATTTTGACAAAGTTCATATTTCGCTATATAAACAGCAGAAAGCACTGATGATGATTCATTCAGAATCGAAATATGGCCTTATTTGCAGCATGAATTCGGAAAATAAGTTTATTTTGAATTTTAATAAACTAAACGTTCACCAAAAAACTTTAGTGAGAAAAATTGAAAAAACGAACTACAAACATATTAACGCCAAACATTCGGTAGAATTTATAGAATATTGTATATATATATATATATTAATGTCGTGTATATATATACATATATCTATATAAATCAATCCTCTTTTATAGTCTTCATTCGTTATGGGTCGGACATATATAAAAAAATTTTTTTGTATTTACAGAAAATTGTTTAATAAATAAATAAAAATGTTTAATAAATAAATAAATAGGAGGTAATTTAATCAAGTTTATGATACTGAAACCTTATTCCTAATTATTTATATAAATAATTATTTATATATATAAATAAGTTAAGTCATACATATATGTATATATATACATATAAGTTATACATATATATATGTATGCCATATGCCATACATTTAAAATAAGTTAATAGACAGCACAACTCAAAATAGTTAGTATAAAAGAGCTTGGCTGAAACTATGCAGAAGAGAGAAAGAAAGGAAACAATGATATAGTTAAAGACTAATAGTTTGGTATAGTTAGTAACCGGTTGATAACTGAAGAACGAGACAGAAATCAAGAATCAGAAGTGTAAATTAGTGAGATTCAATTCAGTTGACATATTAGTAACATTCAACATCAACTTATGTTTAGTATTGCTTGTTCACTTGTAAATCTGAATGCATACAATAAAGATGAAATGGGTTGGTTATGTATACTTTAATTAATTTATAATCTGATAAGCAACAGTTTAATAATAACCAATATTACATGGTGGAGAATTATAATCAATATAATAGTAGGTACTTGAGGCAAAATAATTTTCTGATAAGAGGTTGTAGAATGTAGTGGTTGAAGTTGTTGTGAAGCAAAGTCAGATCAGGGAGGAGCTGTATACTTGATGCATGATGTGATTAGTGATTCTGTAATGTCAAATTTGATGTCTTCAAGTTTGAGACCATGTAAAGTTGTAAACAAAGTGTTTTAGATGCATGAAATGCTTGCAGTCCTTTTGTGATGATTTGGTTTATATGAGGTGCAACAGTGTTTGGTAGTGAACCGATGTCTAATGATAGATGGATGTCCTGAAGAATTAATAAAATTTAAAATAAATGATAGGTGGGGTATTCTATTTAATTAATCAATATATTATATATATATATATATAAATTAATCAATATATATATATATATATATTATATATATATATATATATATATATATATATATATTGATCTATAAATTGATACATAAATTTGAACCAGAAATTGATCAAAGTTGAAAATGCAATGATATTTCTTAGAAATTATATCTCCAAGTCTCAACCCAAATTATGTATATATATATATATATATATATGCATATATATATATAATATAGTTATATTACACTTTTCAGTAGAAAGTATAGTATTTCTATTTGGTCTACTCTACCTCTACATGATATATTTCACTTTTTTATTCTAACGTGTGTTGCAGTTGTTCAAAATATGACAGCGCTATTGGCATTGCAATTTACAATTCAGTATTTCAATTTTTCGTACAACAATTACAATTACATTCTTACATTTTTACAACATAGAAATCATTATTAGAAGTACAGTATCAGTAAAGTAAATTATTGAATACAGTTCATCTTCATCACATTGTACAAAAAAATATGTACAAATCTTATAATAAAAAGTTTACGAAAAAGTTAAAATGTGCTACGAGCTACAAATATTAGGCAAACTCAAACGTTAAATTTCAGAAAATGATGACTTCCAGAATTTTACGAAATCTGACTGAAAATTCTATTTTACGCTTACTGCCTAGTAACTTGAAAAATTATATGGGATGACTAAAAGTAAACCAAGAATAACAAAGAAACTTAAATGAATCCCAACTTGTCTTAATATCGCCAAATAACGGATACTAATTCCAAAATTTCTACGTTTTGAACAAAACAGCCCATTTTTTGCTGGCGTCCTTTTTGAAGGACACATACAAAAAATCATTAAAAATCGAATTTTTGTTATATTTGTATCTTTTTTTTAAACATTGTATACTTCCTTCAATAATCTCTTTTTGTAAAAAAATATTTAGTTGCGTGTGCCGTTGATTTCTGAGATCAATTTAAGTAGCCAGAATTGCAAAATTGGTAAAAAAATGTCTCAACATAAAAAGTTAGTAATTTTATTATTTTGTTTGCGAAAATTTTAATATATTATGGATTAAATTTATGTATGAATGTATTTTAAATATTATCTTGCAAAAAACAAATCTCAACTGTTGAATATTTTAAAATCAGTGATAAGCATGTGTCCTTTATAAAGGACACTAGTAGAATATGATACCCTGAGATTCACTTAGTTATCACATTACAAATGTTTGTTTTTCAATAGTGTAAACACAATAAACACTGGTAAAATCGGAGGCAGGTCCTCCTATCACTGGTCTGAATCTATCCGACTCAAGATAGCATTGAATAAAATAAAGCCTAACAAATATATGGAAATTCTATCAGACGCAATGTATATCATATATACTATATAGTATATATATATATATATATATAGAATAAATTGATTAGCGCTTTACTTTGCAAATTAATAATCTAATTTAGACTTTATTTATAATTTATATATACTATTTAATTTTTAATAATTTTAATATATTTTGAAATTTTTGGTAATCATTTTTAATTGTTCATAATAAATTGTTCACTCAATTTTCAACAATTTTGGACATGGATTGATTAGCGCTTTACTTTCCGAATTAATAATCTTAAGAAGATACATATATATACAAGAATTGTATATTGCTTGAGTTGTAATAATCTAATTCTAGTAAAATAATAGAAATATCTTTATTCTAGACATACATACGAATACATTTATATTAAAATATCTCGGTTATATTGACACAGATTTTTAACAGAATTATTTGTAATATTTTCAATCAATAATTGGGCATAAGGCTGATCATCGCCAGAGCTGACAGAACAAAGTTAACTCAAAATATAGTAAAATAATAAATATATCTTTATTCTAGACAAATACAAGAATACATTTTCATTAAAATATCTCTGTTATATTGACACACTGATTTTTAACAGAATTATTTGTAATATTTTCGATCAATTATTGGGCATGAGGCTGATCATCGCCACAGCCGACAGAACAAAGTTAACTCAAAATATAGTAAAATAATAAATATATCTTTATTCTAGACATATACAAGAATACATTTTCATTAAAATATCTCGGTTATATTGACACACTGATTTTTTACGGAATAAAACCAATGTGAGCTGATCTCCAGTCCTCTTTTTCTAATAATTTCTTTGTCTTTTCTGTTTGACATTCTTTTGCCAAGTCTGCTTTTGTCTTTTCCGGCCCTCTTATCTGGAACTGTCTGCCTTCTTCTCTTACTTCTTCCAAATCACTCGCGTTTGAAAGGTTCATCTAGGAACATTGTTGAGCGACACGTATTAGGCACTGTATAAAATGTCAAAGAATAAATTAAATTTAAGCTGGAGACAACAAACAACAAACCTATCAATTTATCAATTGATGACATCGCACTCTAGCCGCGGACTAATAAAAATAGTTATAAAATAAAACAAACAATTAAAGGGTGGAATACTAACACTAACGCTCTAATTTAATTGCATTTTTCGCAAATGTAGGATTTTAAATCAAAGGCTGATTGTGGAATTTGATGACAACCTCTGTGAAACCATTCTCCACATCGATCACAAGTGATCATGTTCTCCTTAACACCGGTCTTTTGAGGAATGTGGTTCAAACGGCAGGTGCAGTACAGATTTATCTCTATGTTTTTTGGCTTACTCTCTGTTGGTAATGTTCTCCTCTAACGGATGAAAAAATTTGGAGGGAAATACTTTTGCCAACTCTGCACGTAAGTTTTCTTGTTTGTATGAACAACATGTGGGATTTAGCCCACAAGCTAATGATGATGCAAAAGCTATTGCTAGGGCCCCGCAATCATTCGAGCCGATTTATTCCTGAACTTTGTGTAGATGCATGATCACATTCTTTTGTTCTGGAAGAATGAAATTCTTCATAATGGAACAAATCACCCGTTCATCCTCTGGCAACATTTTTGTGGGTCTACTGTCCTATATGTCAATTATATTTTGTTCAGGAAAAAAAGTTGCTGACGGTAATCCAATGGTTTCCCCCTTTGTTTAATATTTGTATAAATTTTCCATGTGGCGTGGGTAAGTTGCTGTTTAACCCTATATGTGTGAGAAAGTCAGTGTCAGATAGCCCATCAATGTGGGGGTATTGTAAACTTAAAATAAACATGGCGAGTTTGATGTGATCTGATGAAAGCCAACTAGTGCCTTGTAGATCTGACCAAAATGAATTTAAAATTATTGGTTGTTGCTGTATATGAGTAACTGGTTTAGTGACAAGTGACTGGTTTTCCTGAATCTTGTCTTTAATTAAAATTAAGGGTTTTTTTGGGTTAGAGACATAAATTCCCTTTTTCCTCTGTTTCCTTTTTTCCAAACTTCCAGATCTATTTTTCGTTTTTTATACAGTCTTTTTTGATTATCAGCTAATTCTGTGATCATCGCTAGGTGGATTTCCTGGTATGTGATAACAAAATCATCTATTCTATTTAACTGTCTCGTCATTCTTATGTGCTTTAAATCCCATTGGCTCTTTTCCATAATGCCCTGTGTCCTATAGTCTTTTGTAATGTTTTGAGTATTTTTTAGGGTCAATTCTAAATATATAGCGTTTTGATTTTTATAATTATCTGATGTGCCATGTCTCCCAAGATTACCGGTTAGTAAATTTGTCAAAGAAGAGCACTGGGCAAAAGATCTTTCTTAAATGATGATAAAAATTCTGGGGAATAATACATATTTCTTTTAATTCCGGTGTCTGTTATTTTAGCAAGAGCCATATTGTTTTCACATGCTTTCATAAAAGATCCAGGCTGGCAAACGTCCTTTAAAAAGAGTTAAATAAATTATATGTTAGAAAAATATAATGACATAAATTTAACAAATTAATACAATTGTAAACTTGCATCTTACGTTTCCGCCAATTCTGTAGTTGTTGTTGCTCCGTTTTCCTCTAAATCAAATTCGTTATCCTTTATGGCTTGTTGGAGTTGAAGCAGATATTGTGTCACCTGTGGTCCTTCAAACTCACTCCCAAAAACTCCTTCCATTGATATTAAGATACTGTTCAGTTCGTTAATTATTGTGACATTAGCCACTCGTCCGATGAGGTACATCGCAAAGGTAAAATTTTTTGGAATGTTCTTTAAAAATAATACCTTTGCGTTCTTCATAATGTGGCTCAGACTTCTGTGTATGATTGGTTTTTGGAAGTCCTTAGTGTTTCCGTGACCAACCACTATCCTGTAGTATCTTTCCATAACTGATTCCAGTAGCTCGTAGCAGAATGTCCGAGCCAATGCTTGCAGCAAGACGATGGACCCATCACAAATAAAATATCGCGGGCTTACCCTACTACTTTTCCCAAACAATTTACAGTAGTCGCTGTACAGGAAGTTTAAAAATGACAAAATTGAGGCAGTTGAATGAAGGTTTGTCAGGTATGTAGCGACAGGAAACGGTGATCCTCCTTTCATCGAACTTCTGACAACCATTTCATAGATATAAAATGGATGTTTCCTTTTCTTTACAATACTTCCTGTTGCGTCTATGTACACCACATCATCGATGCATCGTTGGCGTAAAATTTTTAAACTTTCTTTGGACCAGAGCATGACACTGGATGGTTCAGTGAAAATATATTGCAGACATGCATAGCTTTCGTGTTGTTTTTCAAAATCTTCCTTCAATAATCTCAGACTTTCCATTTCGTTTGGATGCTTTCGTTTCGTTTTGTTGTACTGGCATACAATTTGCGAAAGGACCGTTACAAAAGGAGCATCATCTCTGTTGCCAGCTGCTTATACTTCAGGGCACAACTCTTTAATGCAGTCTAGGTGTTTTTGGTGAGGACTAATATTTTTCATCGAAGAAGCAATTTCCCCTCTTTTACTCGCCCTAACCGGTCTAGCCATTATTTCCGACAATTTATGTATGCGAGTTATGCCAGAAAATTGCACATGAGCATCAAGAAGATCTTCGTCAGAAATAATTATTTTGAATGTTATGGCACACCCCGTGAATTTACAATATCCCTGAGCATTAAAACTTTCGCGCCTTATAGAATCCACTTTCTTAACCCTATGCCACAGCAATATGGATTAAATTTTTTCAAATTTCTTGTCATTATATTAATCCAATCTAAATTTTTAAACAAATGATTTTGTTGTGATTGCCTTAGTAGTTGCCATTCACCAACTTCAAGTCTAAACGAAATTTCCGTTTTTTGTAAATTCTTGGTCCATATTTTGTTGGCATCTAGTTCCTGGTCTGTGAAAGATGCCGAATCACTATCGCTGCAGGTATCATTATCTAATGCGGCAGGTTCGACATCGTAAACATTCAATGACTCATGCCGATCAACATTCATTTCAAAAACCAGGTTGTCTTCTACCAAAGCAGTCACTTGAGAATGCGAGGGAACAATTTCTTCACCAACAGTAATAGCTGGTGTTATAGAAACTGTTGATAGTTCGACTTGTTCATATATTAAATCTGTACTGCATTTCATTCTGGATAAGGTTAGACGTCAAGACATTATCAATTGTTGTTTGAACCACGTTGTCCATTAATGTCTTACCCACTTTGTCTTCTACATTAACATATTCTTTTTTTTGAGCATAATTTATATCTGTAACAATGGTACAAATGTGTACAGTTTTTTTTAGTTCGAGCAATTGCTAGCCTCAAACAACATTCCTCCCAAACACGGCTGTTCTTCTCAGTCGAAAGTGCTGTATCTACTAAAACCATGTTTATTGTCTCTTCCACTTCCTGCAATTCTATCTCCCTGGTTGACAAATTTATTTAAATTGTTTATTAAAGCATTATGGTATCAATTTTTTTTATAGAATAATAACGTAAAGTTTAATACAAAATTTTTACTAACGTTTTTAAACCCTTTAAAATAAACGGTATTCTTTTCCTTTCCTCTTTTCATTTTTCGATCGATTTCGTAGATTTAATGAATTTTCAAGTAGTTAAACAATTATGCAATAGCCTTATTCAAATAATAATAATAGTAATAATGAAAAAGTAATGTATTCATATAAAAACCTGAGAATAAAGCTCTTTGTCATATGCAAAAAAGTTCTTTATCATTTGACGATAAAGTTTTAATGATTAAAGATTTACAAATAATTCTGTTAAAAATCCGTGTTTCAATATAACCGAGATAATTTAATAAAAATGTATTTCGGTATATGTCTATAATAAATATATATTTATTATTTTACTAGATTTTGAGATAATTGTGTTCTGTCGGCTGTGGCGATGATCTGCCTCATGTCCTATTATTGATTCAAAATATTACAAATAATTCAGTTAAAAATCAGTGTGTCAATATAACCGAGATATTTTAATGAAAATGTGTTCTTGTATATGTCTAGAATAAAGATATACTTATTATTTTACTAGATTTTGAGATAATTTTGTTCTGTCGGCTGTGGCGATGATGAGCCTCATGCCCAATTATTGATCGAAAATATTAAAAATAATTCTGTTAAAAATTCAGACTTTAGATTCAGACCAGTCCTCTTATCTATGGTATCTTCCATGTTTACAAACAATTACATATTATAATTTACTTTTAATAAATTGACTCCGCCCATTTTGAATTATCTAGCGCTTAATTATTTATTTATTATATCAAATGGGAAATAATTCAATACAAGTTAATTCTTAGGTAAGTTTTTTAGATCATTACTTGTCAAATAGTTGAAAATAGTGAACATAAAATAAAAAAAATGTTGAAATATGAGTAAATTTCTCTTTTGATAATAATCAATGCCTTAATTCAAATTTAAACGGTCGACTCACGAACGTTAAATACTCACGGTTTTGACAAATAATTAAAATTCACACATTAAAAAAAGGCTAGAAGGCCATGTCGCATAGCCAATGTTATGACCTCCTCCTTTTCAACAAAATTTTCCATCATTTCACTCAAAGGTAAGCTGGCAACAGATGGAAAAGCCATTTTAAAAATACAAAATTACAAAACCTCGTTCGAACCGCGGCACAAACCAAAAAAAAAACCAAAGACTGTTTTTATTATTTTTATTATAGAAACAATTTTTAAATCATATCAATCATATTAATAAATATAAATCATTAAAAATAAAATTCATATTTACGTTTTATAATTTAATAATTATTAATTAATAAGTAGAGTATTCATGAGGTTTTTTTTATTATAGAAACAATTTTGAAATTGTAATAATAAATATAAAAACAATTTAAAAACTGTAATAATAAATTTAAATCATAAATTAAATAATTATAATTGAAAAATACAACTCCTAAGGATTTTTTTATTATAGAAAAATTTTAAATCTAATCAATAAATATTTAAGCGCTAGTTAATTTTAAATGGGCGGAGACATTCTATTTTAACATACGTTAGGTTTGTTTGTAAACTTGAACGATACCATAGGAGGACCTGTCTCCGATTTTACCATAAACACTATCAATGAATTATTATTAGTTGTATGAATAATAATAAATTTACTATCTATTGTAAAGATATTCAAGTTAATAAAATATTTTTTTTTTTTAGATTTTTTCAGGAAAATTCTGCTAAGAAGGATTCTCTGCAAGATGTTATAACCATAATTGATGAGGATGACAGCATCATTGAAGCTGACATTTTTATCAGTCCTCCTTCTGATGGAATGAATTCAGATGAAGATAATGTATTGGATGAAATACATGATCAAGGATCATTCGATGATCTATCTGCACGACAATTACTGAGTAATGCCGAAGCAACAATAAAACAAATTGGTGGATCTGGATCTAAAGAAATTGGCATTGTGAGTATTTATTATGTTTAATATCTTTTAAATGAACAATAAATTACTATCATAATTCAAAGACATTAATAATTTTTGAAATTAATTTTTAAAAAACTACAATAGAATGATGAATCATGTGAAAGTGATAGTAGCGATGAAATTTTCAATATCTCAAAACCAAAAAAAGATGAAAAAACAAGACAATGGGAAAAAGTTGATATGTGTAAAAAATCTTCAAATTTTAAGAATTATCCAACACCAGTTCAAGCATTTTTAGAAGAAGATCTGCCTCCTCATATGTTGTTTGAAAGATTTTTTGATGATATTGTCATTCAGCACATAATAGATCAGACAATTTTGTATGCACAAACAAAAGCTAACCAATGCCTTGACATCGAAATTGAAGAAATGCGCGCTTTTTTAGCCATTCTGTTTATTTCAGGTTACAACCCACTTCCTCGAAGACCAATGTATTGGGAACCTGAACAAGATGTTCACAATTCTGCTATAAGTAGCACAATGTCAAGAAACCGTTTTGATACCATTATGATGCATTTGCATTTAGCTGACAACAATCATTTAGATCAAAATGACAAATTCAGCAAAGTGAAACCACTTTATAATCTTGTAAATGAAAGGTTTACAAAATATTTTCCAATTGAGGAAAATCTAAGTATAGATGAGATTATGATTCCGTACTATGGACATCATGGGCTGAAGCAATGTATTAGGGGCAAGCCAATTAGATTTGGTTTCAAACAATGGATCATCGCAACTCCTTTAGGATATGCAGCATTTATAGATCTTCATCAGGGACGTAGTTTTCAATATGACAAATCTTTCGGTCTTGGCTATTCTGTGGTGACAAACTTGGTTGAAAAACTTCCAAAAAATAATTCTTACCATATATTCTTTGATAACTTTTTTACAAGTTTACCTCTTTTAAAATATTTAGCTACACAAAATATAAAAGCAACAGGAATTACTAGATCAAACAGATTGGAAAAATGTCCTATTGATATAAAATCATTAGCAAAATCCAGCAGAGGATCGTTTGATTATCAATTAGACAAACAAGACAACATTTTCATTTTATCGTGGAATGACAACTCAGTTGTCACCATGGTTAGCAATGATCTTGGGGCTTACCCATTGCACAAAGTTGAAAGATATTCAGGAAAAGAGAAAAAATATATTACAATAAATCAACCAGACATAGTTCATAAATATAATGCTTCGATGGGTGGTGTAGATCGAATGGACCGAAATGTTGGTCAGTACAGAATCAACATTAGGAGCAAAAAATGGTGGTGGCCACTTTTTGCTTTTTTATTAGACGCTGCTATGAACAATGCATGGTTGTTATACCGTAAATCACCTGCTAATAATCGCTTAAACCATGATCTGTTATCATTTAAAAGAGCAGTAGTAAACACATATCTGAAGGCTTATCAGAAAAAAAAAAATGTACACCCTAAAATTTGTTCAATGCCAAACAAACGACGGAAAGTTGATGATGAAATTCGTAAGTCATCAGATGGTCACCATCTGCAAAAAATGCCCAAACAAAGAAGATGTGGCCATTGTGGCAAAAAGGCAAACTTAATATGTTTTGCATGTGATGTACCACTGCACATTTCTTGTTCACCTGATTTTCATAAATGATTTTATAACTTTTTTTAATGACTTAGATTTTTTTATTTTCAATCTTTTGTTTTTTGTTTCATAAAATTTATGAAAGTTGAGAAAATAACAATAAAAATTAATTTCAACTACGGTCGCGTCTCACGGTGTCATTCATATTCTGCTGGCGTCCATTATAAAGGACGTTTTAAAAAACGTTCTAACTTTTTTAAAAATTAAACTTTTGAAAAAAGAAAAAATACGTATTAGTTTTTTATTGGTATCCACAGCATATATAAAAATCACAAAAATCTAAACCTCAGCAGAAAATGGGTAAATTTAAGAAAGCAATAATAAATTCAAGTAGTAATATGCTGTTTTCTTAGCTTCATTCAGCAAAATAAACCAATTACACGTTAGAAGCTGTATACCGCTTTTTTTAAGCGGAGACCTTTATATTTTATTCTATATGTTACGCAACTTGACAAAAATATAATAGGCCTTAACCATTTTATAATTGATTTGTGTTGCCATTGATTCAGGCCAGGCTGCATTGCTCGCGATACTGGACGTACAACGCAGTCAAATATCGCTTTCGACACAAACAATCGCTTTCTAATATCAAATATTCAATAACCACTATTCATGCCTTCTCGCATGCCTTTATATACCCTCCTTACCGACTCTTCTCGAATGTCCTAGGTATCGCTGTCGGAAGGTTCTAGTTCCTCTTCGAACTGTATGGGTTCGTAGCGACACTAGCGCATCTAGCGAATATATTCGTGACGGTTATATATATATACGAATATTTATATGGCGCTAATTAAATAGTTTTTCAAAAGGGCTTACAAATAAAATGTTATAATACCGATTTACGATGCGACCGGTTCCAATCCTCGATTGAATAAAATATTCCCAACCATTATTAAACCTTTATTACAAGAGAAATCAACTAATTTTAGTTATTTAACCTTTATTAACAGAGGAATTCACTAATTCGTTTATTCCAGTTAATTTAAACTAACGCCAACAATTAACTTTTAAACCGTTCAAATCCTATCGCTATGACAACGTCAACAAACAAATCAAATATCGCTTTAAATAATCAACGGATTGATATTCACAAAATCACGAATTCCACAAATCACGATTATCACTAATCACGAATATCACTAATCACGAATATCGCTAATCACGATATCCACTAATCACGAATATCACTAATCACGAATTTCACTAATCACGAATATCACTAATCTTCTTGCGACGTGAGCTTTTATACTCTTCGCAAGCGTCGTTTCTAGATTCTTCTCGATGGTCCGATTCTAGCATACTCTAGAATGCTCCAGTCACTAGAACATTCTAGAATACGCTAGAATCTAGTGCGTTCGGTAGCACGGTTATAACAATAACATACAAAATAGTCGAAGACAAATGTTCGTCAAACAAATAAATCAAACATTAAATATTATACAAAGCTGACATTGTTGAGGTGGTTGGAACTTATGGACTACTTTGTCATCTTTATGCAGATAATATTCAGATGTATAATTTTGGATCGTTAAACTCACAACACAAGTTATCATCTACTGCGTCGTCTGCAATTGAATCCATTAATGATTGGATGACGGCTCAAAACGGTATCGAGCTAGATGCGAGATGAATGACACCGCCAAAGAGAATTCAACTAAAAATTTCTCTGATTATAGAAATATAGAATAAGTAAAAAACTTTTTACATTACAATTCAATATATATGGCGCCGGCTCGTCTTTCAAGTATCCCGATAGTTTATACAAGCATTTCAAAAATTTTATAACGTTGTATAAGTTTAATTAGTCGTATATTTTTTGACAACATAGGCCGTGTATTTTTTTCTCTATTATTGCTAATGTTTGTATAGCTATTTAATTTTTTCAACAACATATAACAAAAACAATTGCAAATCTCTTGCATCATCAATCAATCACAACCAAACACTTCAACATGTTTGAACAAAACAAGAAGTCATTAATCTAAATGCACTCTTTCAAGCACTCTGAAAAACTTTGCAACATGTCATTTGTTTTTAGTTCAGATATAATAACTACTTGGAATTGAAAAGTGGAATGCTTCTTACAAAAAAAGTAACGCAGTTGCACGTGTAATCGTCACACTCCACTCCCTACGTTTATTAGAAATCCAAATGGTCATTACCACTAGCACATATGTGTATATAAAAAATAGACAACTACACTATATTTTATATAAAATAATATTATCATATATATTACTAATTAAATGCTATTTGATCGATCAAATATGAAAATTATTTTATTCTTCAACATCTTTATTTTCAATTTAAATAAATATTTAGACCAATTTAAAAATATTAATTTGTGATGTATAATTCTTTATAATTAAAAAAAATTAGAAGAGTTTTGACAATTTCTTAACGTCGTTCTTATTGCACTAAACGACATTATGACAAATTCAAGCAGATGAGCCGAGGACAGCATCTGCTTGGTACTTTTGCAGCTTCGTCTATACCAGTTGCGGCATAAAAAAAAAAACAAGAACGAATTGATTGCACTATTAAAAATATTTTTAAATCATTAAAGATTAATCAGTATAAAATTATTCTCAATAAAATGATTAAAATAAAATCAAAATTAATACAATATAATGTAATTACAAAATTGAAAGTGACAAAATGTAGATCACGTGGATTCAAATGGTTTGGCATATTTTTCAGGATATAAACCGATTTTTCCGTCTTTGCTGCCCGTGCACCATCCTTGATCATCTTTCTCCGACAGCTTTTCAAAAACATCTCCTGAGTGACAAAATGACTATAATTATAATATTTTACTTTTCTGTCTTGTTTGAATACATTTACGAAAATATTAAAACTATTTTTTTCATCTAAATTTTTCATCTTTTTTTTCATCTAATTTAATACATTTGCATAAAGTCCAATCCGGGCTGTCAAAGCTATTAAGTAGGCGGATTTAAACAACGTTAACGGGCGGGGCAAGAATTTTGAAAATACTAAAATTTTAAAATATGACGGGGGGAATAGGACATTAACCAATGTTCGCTAGTGTGGTAAAAAGTGGTAAAAAATAGGCTGGCGACCTTTGTTTCCTTATCACGCTAATTTTTGGTAAATTTTGTACTTGAAAACGGTGTTTTCCTGGCTAAAAACCGACTTTAAATACTACAGTTCATTTTATTGAAAATTGGCAGATGACTTTGAAAAACTAGCATAACCGCGAAGTTTATATTTCAATGCTTATATCTAACATTTAATTACAGATATTAAAATTTGGTTACACGTTTCCAATAATGAACTGATAGAAAATTGAATGATCATAACCTTTTGTTAAAGTCAATTCGTCGGCTTCTTGAGCAATGTAATCATATACTGCAATCACCATAGCGCTGCTTGATGCACTAAATTTTTATAAATTTAATCAAAGAATTAAATTAATACGATATGAAAACGAAAGCTACGCATCAAACTTTACTTTGAACTGTGATCTGCCGATTCCATTGGTTCTTCAAATGGATTCAACTCTGGATCGTAAGAAATCCTAGCAATTTATGCAATCAACCAATCAATCAATTAACCAATTAATAAATCAATCATTCTATCAAACGATCAATCATTCAACCAACTAATCAATCAAACAAACCATTCATCGATCCATCAATCGTTCAGCGTGCGTTTCTAAAATTCAATAATTCTAGCAGAATCAGCAAAATAATGTGTGACTGAACAGTGAAACAAAATTAAAAATATACCAAAATGAAACGCATACAACATAGGACAATGTTAGTAATATATTACACACGTTACTGTTAATAAATTCCACAGCATTGTTAGCATTATTCATCTTGTTAGAAATCTTTCCACGATTTAGAAAATCATTCTTAAATATTTGTTCAAATTGTCAACATAAAAAGAAAAAATTATTTAAAATTGAATTTTGTTTATAAATATAAGAATAGCTATAAAATACTTTTTTGAGGGAGTTTCGTCCTTGGGTGGCAATTGTGTCGTTGAAATATTCTCAGGAGCTTCGTCGTCCTCATCCATGAATGGATTCAACTTGACATTATATTTGCTCGGTCTTAGGTGAGATCATTCGTTGTTAATTATTAAATACAAGTGAAACACATCAGCCGTCATTCAAAAATGTAGTTGGTCAAGTCAAGGAAGTTAAAAAAACAACAATTGTTAATGTAAGTTGCCTTAAATTCGTTGACCTAAATCAAAGATTGTTCAAAAAAAGAAACAATTCAACTGTGAAACTTTAAAGTAAAAATATTGAACTTTGCACTAACGTTTCCTTTTCATGACTGATGTCATTTTTAGCCTTCAGGTAAACTTGCTTGCTATCATCATCTGCAGGTTCTGCAAGTTTCCGATTATATGTCGAATCGCAAGATGAATTTTCCGATTCCATTGAAATCACATCCAACCGATCAAAAAACTTCTCAGGCTTGGATTTAACATTAAACACCTCCTGCATAATTTCAATAATATTTTTAATGCATTAAAAACTTCATTTCAAAATATTGAACAGCTAAATTAAATTTCTAAACATCCGTTAAAAAGGGGCCGCTCAAGAATTATTCAACACGAAAAAACACATAACACTGAAACGATACCAATGCATAAACACGTAGTATAAGAAACGTTGAGTAAAAAAATTAAATCTGTAGGACAAACTATAAGGCTATGCCTGAATGAAAATTTCCCGAACATACATAGTCAAAAGCCAATGCCTCATGACATAACTGTGACATATTTGTGCACGGTCGTTTTGAAATTTAGAATTTTTTGTTGTTGTGTGATGTTTGTTTGGTCATTTTGAAATATAGGATTTTGGTCATTTGATGTGTAACGATCAGATAAAATAACAAAAAATGTAAGCTATTTAACTACGGAAAGACTTGGCCAATTCATGCTCATATCCGGACCATAAATGTGAGACCACCATTTTAAATCCTTTTTGGCATCAGACGTTTCAATGGACTTCCTCCAGCGGATGTAGATTATAGGTATCCTGAAATGATAATTCACAAGGTTAATTTATTACTAAACTGAATAGTTAGATGACTGTTGTATATATATATATATCAAATCAAATATTGTATTTATATAGCGCCAATTATAATTGCTTCTCATCAGCGCTCTCCTCGTATGAAGCATGTTGAAAGCGAAGCCATCATCGGTTGAAATCACTAGGAGTTACCAAATAGGTATGTCTTTAGACGTTTTCTAAACTCAGCTAATGATAACCCAGATGTACGTAGTTCGATAGGTTGGCTGTTCCAAAAAATAGGCCCAGCAACTGCAAAATCTCTATCTGCTGTTTTCAGATTCCGATCTCTAACATACAGCGTGTTTGAATCGGCAGACCTTAGACGCCCATGTGATGACATAGATGAAACTCGAATACACTTATCTTCTAAATATTTCGGAGTCAGACCATTTAAACTTTTAAATACCATTACACCCAACTTGAACATGATTCTTTGTTTAACACGCAGCCAATGCAACTCCTTTAGAATTGGTGATGCATGATCAAATTTTAATTTGCGATATATCATTCTAGCAGCCTGATTCTGAACCATCTGAAGTTTAGACAACAGTTTATCAGCTATGCCATATAGAAGACTGTTACAATAATCCAATCTAGAGTTGACGAAAGCATGTACTAATAGAGTCATTGTATCTCTATCTACCGATTTTGTGACTTGACGTAATTGACGTAGTTGGAACATACATTTTTTAACCAATAGACTGACTTGTGGACCCATTGTCATACGGGAGTCCATCACAATTCCCAAATTGGTAACCGTTTTACTGAAACTTATATCAGTCATGCTGATGTTAATCGATGAAGGTTCAACCGCTGACGTTTGGTGCCATGTACCAGCCAACATGAACTGAGTCTTAGTCTGATTCAACTTTAGCCTACTTTGACCCAGCCACGAGCCGACATCAGATATAGTTTTTGTCAGTTTCTCTAATACGGTAGGCATCTCATCTGGGAAACATGAAACGCAAATCTGCATGTCATCTGCGTACCCATGGCAATAATAACCATCTTTATTCAGTAAATCCAATATCTCTGCAACGTACAAATTAAAAAGAATCGGTCCAAGAACAGATCTTTGAGGCACCCCTGACGTAAGTTTCATTGGTTCCGAGAGACCACCTGAGTAAGAAATCTGCTGAGTCCGACCAGTAAGAAATGATTCGAACCACGCTAACGCAATCTTATTTAAACCATAACAATATTTCAGTCTGTTCAGCAGGATTTTATGATTCACAGTATCGAACGCCGAACTCATATCCAGGAATGTCAACAAAGTTACTTTTTGTACATTAACTGCTGAATAAACATGAGAGAATATATCCGATAGAGTTGTTTCGGTCGAATGAAACCTTCTGTATCCAGATTGATGCGAAGGCCAAATACTATTTTTATTTATATGATTATTTAAAACTAACTCAACGGAACGTTCAATAATTTTAGAAACGAAAGACAAATTTGACACCGGCCTATAGTTTATCAGATCTGATTTATCTAATCCTGTCTTCTTTAGAATTGGCGTGACAATTGCATGCTTGCAAACCTGTGGCATTACATCCTTCGTTAAGCACATGTTGATTAAGTCCGTTAAGTAAACAATAAAACAGTCAGCATATTCTTTGAATACATGCATCGATATTGGGTCGAGTGAGCATGACTTCGTAGGTGACGAATTAACAACTTTAGATATCTGTTCTTCAGTCAGCACTGGAAACGATTCGAGTGGAAACATAATATTAGTATTAGTAGAAATAACTGGAAAATTAAAACATTCAGTTGACTTTTCGGTCACTTTCAACATGTCAGCAAAAAATTTTTTAAAATCATCGGCGCTATGCATTGAACCAACTTCATTTTCAACACTTGTCTCTTTTCCTAATAATTTATTAATCGTTTGCCATAAGTATTTGGAATTATTTTTAAATTGACATGTTTTCGCTAACCAAAAACTCCTTCGTTTCACTGAGCAACAAACATTCTTTTGTTTCATTGCCAGTACCCAATCAACTCTATCATTGTAACAACCAGTAGTTCTGAACCTTCTTTCTTTTTTTCGACACATTTGCTTAGCCTTTTTGCAGTCACTGTCAAACCATGGGGCAGTCGGGACATGTTTCCATCGAACTTCATGAAGTGGAGCAACATCGTCAGCAATTTTTAAAAGCTCTTCATTGAATATTTTAAAACCCAATTCGACATCATCATCCTGACCATAATGTTTCGAGAGGGGTGAGCACCTCAAAAGCTCAGTCAGACGTTTTTTATCCACTCGTTTCCAGGATCTGATCCACGATTTCTTGAAAATGACCGGAGTCGGATTGATTAAAAATTGACCAGTTACTAAACCATGATCTGAATAGATACCAGATGGGTACACCAATATATCTTCTAACAAAAAATCATCCGATGTGACAATCAAATCCAGGGTACAACCAAGCACATGGGTAGACTGATTAATTCTATTGACAAGATCAAAACTAGAGAAAATATCAGCAAGGGCTGTTGCATATGTATCTGACGAAGTTTCTACGTGTATGTTGAAGTCACCTGCAACTACAATACTGCAACATAAAAGAGTGATTTGTTCTAAAACTAAAATTAATTCTTCAAAAAATAATTTAGCAGGAGGAGCGGAACCTGGCCTATAAATCACCAAAAAATTACTGAAGATTTCCGTAACGTCAATTTAAAACATATCGCTTCAAATGTAATTATCACTGGCAATGGAATTTTTACACATTTAAAGTGGTTTCTGAAATACGTTACCAAACCACCATGCCCAGGATCATTTAGCCTAACATGTTTCCAAAAAACTAAAATCACGTGGTTTTGCCAAACTAAGACAAATATTATCAGATGATTTATGCCAAGTTTCTGTAAGCATCAAAACATCCAAGCCATCATTGAGCAGCCCATGAACATCATCAACATTTGGACCCAAAGATCTAATGTTTAACAGACCCACCTTAATTTTATTGACATTACCAGAAGAGTTGAAAACCATAGACGCACAATCAGAGCTAGTATGCTGTAGTTTTTTTATTGAATATTTCTGTATTTTTATTATTCTCAAATTTGACGGATCTCCCCTCACCCTGTACTAAAATTCCCCCGACTCCTGTTTCTGTTTATCTTAAGCTTCAGCTACCAGTTTTTTACATTTCTCACGCTGTTCTTTAGTGAAGTCATGGCTTATGCTGACATTTTTTAATTCATCACTCAATTGTTTCATCCTCAAACGATTTTCCATTATCATGTTTTTCATAGACTTTTCTTTAAACTCGATCAACATCGGACGTGGGTTGTCACCTTTTTTGCCAATTCTGTACATTTTCTTAATATCACTTTCCTTGATTTCATCATTTGTAATGACTGAAAGAAAATTCATAACAATTTTTTTATCATTATTGCGAGCATCAGCAGAGTTAGTTTCAGCTTCACTGAGCCTAAATAACACAACATTGCACTCACGGTTTATTGTTGTTCAGAGCCACCGTAGTCGATTTAACTTCTTCTTTGATGGTTCCCTTTACAACTTCAGTCCAATTCTTTTTGAAACCCCCTTCAACATCTTTAATCTGCGTGTTTACATTTGTTACCGACTTATCAAATTCATCAATTTTGTTGGCCATTTCGCTTAACTTTGCGTCAATTGAAGCCAACTCACGACGAAAAGAACTTTGCTCATCAGTAAGCTTATCTTGGTTACAGATTATTTCATTTTGGGATTTTTGCAGATCACAAATCTTTTTAAAACCTTCTTTAATGTCTTTAACGCAGCTATTGCAGAGCCAAAATAAATTTGGATCGGATACTACTGCTGTCAAGACTTAAGCATCGGTCGGAATACATTTGATGTGGCAGCCATCACCACATATGCCACAACAAATTAACTCTTTGTTACTTCCTTTGATTTTAACTTTGCATTTGTTGCATTTATCTTTCGACATATTCAACAGTAAAATATGTCACTATATCTGATAGTCTGATAAAACAATACAGGTTATCCTATAACGTTTACAAAATGAAATTCCTTCTCTTGTCCATTAAACAAGAATTTACAATTAAATCAACTTAACTTAAATTAATTGAAAAAAAATTAACTTCAAACAATTAACGCAAACAAATTATATCATTAAATTCATCAAAATTTTCTCTATCAAATGAAAAATCTTTATAAATAATTTATATATATATAAAATATAAATATATAGGAAAAATTTCAACACCGAAAAAATTTTCTCATCAAAAAAAATTTCAACAGATTGTCGCCACACAGTTAGACCACCAATAGCAAGCCAGTACAGATTGGAGTACATACAAAACCGTTTTGATAAACGCTGCAACTAAAGTTTGTGGAAAAACTGGTACAAAACGTCAGCATGAACGGGACCCTTGGTGGTGGAATGACAGTGTACAAAACGCAATAGCTGAAAAGAAAGCTGAATACAAGCAATGGCAAAAATCAATGTCTGTTGATGACCATAAAATTTTCCGTGAGAAGAACAACTATGCAAGACGTCAAGTTGCACTGGCTCGGACAGATCAGTACAGAGAGTGGCTCACTAAAAGCAAAGGTGAACAAATGAAATCTCTGTATAGCAAAATAAGCAAAGCGTACGAAAAAAAACATAGTTGGTGACTCATGTATCAAAAAACGACAAAAATGAGATGGTTCTTGAACAAATTGGGATCAAGCTACAGTGGAAAGAATACTTCAACCGTCTGTTAAACGAAACAAATCCCATCAATGTTAACTTTGACGCTCCACCCATCGAAGGTCCGATTCCAGACATCACTGTAGAGGAGCTTACAGAAGCTCTGAAAGCTATGAAGGATGGAAAGGCAGCAGGGCCCGCCCTCTGGACTCACAAATGACATTATCAAAGCATCTGGTACTGCAGGTATCCAAACGTTACTACAACTTTGCCGTGAAATCTGAAGAAATTGCTCATGCCGACTGAATGGAACTATAGCATGGCAGTCCCGCTATACAAAGGCAAAGGTGATCCATTGAACTGTTCATCATATCGGGGTATACGTCTGTTAAAACGCTCCATGAAAATTGTCGAGAAAATCATTGAGAGAAGATTAACGTCGTGCATCACAATCGGAAATTATCAATTTGGTTTCTAACCGGGGAAATCAACAATTGATGCAATTCACATCCTTCGGCAACTGCAAGAGAAGTACCTCGCAAAGCATCAACAACTATCACACATTTTTGTAGACCTTGAAAAAGCATTTGATCGAGTTACCCGTGAAGCAATCAGGTTGAGTCTACGTCGACAACTCATTCCAGAATATCTTGTTCGACTTGTGATGAAATGTATACGATTACTAAGACTCTTGTCAGCACAACGGTTAGAAACACAGATGCATTTGACATCGGCGTTGGAGTTCACCAAGGCTCGATTCTCAGTCCACTGTTAATTATAACTGTGATGGAAGAAATCACAAAACCGATACGCACTGGTGACATTTGTAATCTAATATATGCTGATGATATTGTTTTAACAGCCACGTCTGAGCAAAATGCAGCACAGATGTTTGAAGATTGGAACAACAGACTCGCCGATCATGGATTCAAAGTCAACATCAGCAAAACCAAAGCAATGAACACTGGTGAACCCATCCAATCCACAGCTACTGGACGATGGTCCTGTTCAGTTTGTAAAGCTGGTGTAGGTTACAATTAAATCAAGTGTCAGTAGTGTAACAAGTGGTGTCACAAACGTTGTTCAAAAATAATTGGTACTTTATCTAAAGTGTCCAATTTTGTTTGTCCTGCTTGCATCAATCCACAACAACAAACTCGAAATAGCACTGTTTTTGAAGCCATTAAGGTAGAGAAAGTCAAATCGTTTCAATATCTAGGGGATGTTCTGGATTGTACTGGAACAGCTGAAGTTGTCGTTCGAGCACGCATACGTGCAGCCTGGAATAAATGGCATCTCCTTGCCTCCATATTGATGCGGCGTGACATCCCACTACCACTACGATCAAGACTTTATAAATCTGTGATACGTCCGGTGTTGTTATATGGTGCAGAAACATGGCCAATGACAACCAAACTGGAACAACAACTTCAACGAACCGACATGAAAATGCTCCGATGGATGCAACGAATTGGTCTGAAGGACCACATCAAATCTACCGAAATCCTGCGTCGTGCTGGTTTAGATGATATAAAGGACGAATGCCGGCAACACCGTCTGCGGTTGTTTGGTCATGTCAAACGAAGTAGAAACAGTACCATAACTTCTCTTGCAGATGTTGAAGTACTTGTCACACGTCCCAAAGACCGTCCAAAGAAGTCCTGGTCGCAAACAATCGAGCAAGACATGAAAGCTCTAGATTTAAATGAAATGGATACAACTGATTGTCTAATTTGGCGCAAAATATTTATGGCAAAGAAAACAACGTCCTACCTCGGGGAACTGGGTTTCTGGACGCAAAACGAAGACTGATATATATATATATATATATATATATATATATATATATATATATATATATAAACTATCACTGCATTTTTTTGGCTTTATATCGAAATCACAAATAATTGCCGAGCGGAAGGAAGAGTGGAAAATTCAGCTCATCAAAACGCTGGTGAAAAAAACGTTTTAAAACTGCTCTTGCAAGGAGGCATGCCTCCAAGCTGAATGTACTCCGGTGTTGACAAGCAATAGGTCCGCCTCTATTGAGCGTATCCAGGTCTGCCTTGGGCAGCGAAGTGGTCGAGTCCAACCGATTCAGGTCAATCCACGGCAGCTTTTATAACTTTATGGTGGTTCCCCAATGAGCGAGTACGAGCTGTGGCCAGACAGGTAAGGGGACGTCTAGCAAGAAGCGTGGAGACTGACGGCTGTAGTGTTCCCTTTCTAATTTCAATGTTTATAGCAATACCACACTAGGATGGACAAAGAATTCTGCGCAAACGCCATTGATCTGTAGCGTCGAATTTCTCCAGGAGGATGCCGGCGGTTGACCATAACTCACATCCATGCAGCTGCCTACAGCAGTATCATCATTGGAGAATTTATATTTTGAGTGACTATTTGAAACATTATTGTTTCGTTAATTGTAAATAATAATTTTCGCCAGTGCCATTCACTTACTTCAACGAAGATAGTGAATAAATTTAAGTTCATAAGTAAGGTTTTGTCGACATTTCAACTAAGTTTGCTTGAATTGATGAAAATACGTACCAAGATGCTCCTATAAAAATATGATTGAACAGCATTCATTTTCTCCAGGTGTCGCCAATCAACAATCAAAAACTAACGATTGAGAATGGAGATAAGATCGAAGAGGGTGTTTGAACATTACAATAAAAAATTTTTTGTAAAAGGTATAGCAGGCGTGCATTTGAAGAAAAAGACGACAGGTGAGTAACTGTTGCACTTCCTAGTGCAAAGAAGATGTGACTGATTATCGTTTGGCATGTTGAAGTCTTCAGTAAAGACTATAAGAAAAGTGCACAAAAAATGAAATAAAAAAAATTATTATTATTGGAATTGCTGGGAGCAAGAAAACCGCCTGATAGCCAACTTGGTCTAAGATGAGTAAAAAAAAATCTGCTGATAAATCCTATGTAAAACTTTTATCATTGTAAAAAGCGTTAAACATGGCATGCTAATATTCAACTCTGATAATGAAAACACTAAAAACCAAAGAAACACGTTAAAATAAATTGATGGTGCAAAAAATTAATATAAATTAAGTAGAAAATAATAAATTAGATAATAAAATTAACTATTTTAAACAATAGTATCAAAATAATTATTAAATCACAAGCCAAATACAATTTCTAAATATCTAACTTGTCATTTTGAGATATATCTAAACATTTGTGCATGTTAATAAGAGTGTTTTTGAACATGATGAGACGCTTCTCCTCAAAATCTTGCGTCTTTTCAAAGACCTCCGTCATATCAGCAATGTAGATAGGTTTGTAAGAGTCTAAATCTTTTTGTATTGCTTCCAGTTTATCAATTATGTTTTCGTTTTCTTTTTTACATTTTTCTAATCTTTCATTTAATTTTTTATCCTTAAAAAAATACAAAAGCGTTTCATTAATGCAACCGGTAAATAAAAATTCGTTATCTATTGCAGGTTAGTTAGTTAGGATAGCAAACACATAGTTTAAACAAATCAATTACACAATATTAAGAACGCAAAATTTGATAAAAAAAATAACCTCGTCAGTTGATTGAGCTAAAGAATTTTTGAGGATCTTTTCATTTTTAACGTTCGATTCATATTCTTTCTTGTATTTTAAAAATTTGTTCATATGTTTAGCCCACGGTTTCTGAGCCTGAATAAAGTTAGATGATAATTCAATGTAAAAAATGGACTTTATTTATGATACAAAAATATGTAAGAAATCCAAAATTATTATTTTTAGAGATTTACTTTCAAATGCAAAACCTATATCTATATTGCCGCACAGATAGCATGCTTAAGAAAATGAATGAAATGAGCCAACAAAATAATTAGTATCATGACGACTTTGCAAAGCTCGGAAACATCCAAGCAGGAAACGGTTACAATCGTTTCTCAATGCTTTCCTCAACAAATATGAGAGAACAGAATATTACCTGTCAACAATGCATATTATAGAGTGTAATAAACATTGCAAAAGCTCACGTGTCAGGCAATTTGAGTTACTTCCGTGCACAAAACCTATGTTACCATAGTTTTGACTAGTTTATACAAATATAATTCAATATAATTTATGATTTCATTTGGAATAATCAATGTTCTAACAGAAAGCAATTGATGAAACTAATAAACAGTTCAAAGGAATTTTTCATAATACTTTTATAGTTTTAAGAAATTTCCTGAGCTATTTAACGATAATGATGTGGACATGTTGGTGTTGGCAATGTAGACATATGCCCAAGGTGTACGTCTGACATGTACCACCGTCAACCAAAAGTACATCAATTCCATCATCTAATTTATACCATGTCAACAACCATGTTCCCAAATGAATGCGGTAATGCCATGATTAACAAAGTTGAAGTTTTCTAGTTCGTTGCTTCAGAAAATTGACTAGTTTTTTCCTCACAACCTTTCTATAAATTTCATAGCTTACGTGGCTCAACTTTTTTTTAACTCTAAAGTTTTCCACCCAGGTCAAAGTTCCAAGTTTGTTTACCTGTGACAGTAAAACTTTAGACCTTCATAGTTTCACCTCTCAAAAACAAAACAAATTATTTTGCCTTCGTAAACTTTTAAATAAAATTTCTTTTGCACCTACATACTGTTGTAGATAGTGCTTGAAGAAGGTTGTCGGGTAACAACAATAATGCGAAACGGGACCTACTTAACAACACGCAAACAAATTAAAACACAATTTTGGAAAACCGTGCATTGGAATGTCTCTTCCGTCACTAGTAACGTATCTTCCGCATGTGGTAGTTTCTAAGATGACTCTCACTCAAATTCTAAACTCTGATAGACAGAATCAGTTTAAATGCTAAACTCTGATGCAGCTTAATTTGGACCTTTGAACCCATTGTTTAATCCACCTTAATTTTAACCCCATGCGCACAACCAGTTGTTAATCCAGTCACATCTCAACAGAACACCGAGTGTCCCAGCCTAACATAAGTTTCATCATTCAACATCGCCAAAAGTTTCTACATATTTCTTAACAACCTATAGAATCGTTATAATATTATCATGTTCTTTTTTTTATAATTTTTAATCGCAACTGTCACACAACAGCTTCGCTGTCACTAAGTTCAGACATTTATTTTTACACCAATGTTTAAAGACAAAAACATGCCCAAAACTACATCTAAAAAGATAGACTAGAAAAATTTAAAACTGTTTTCAAAATCTTTAATGAAATAACCACAAATAACGAACTGAAAACTGTAACAAATAATTAAATAAAAAGACATAATTATTATTGTTGAAATGTATAGAAATAAGCTTGTCATAAAAACTGTACAAAATAAGCTGTTCAGAAAATTAAATGATAGCAGGAATGAAAAACTTTTCTAAATAATTTGTTTTCTTAACCTTTTTAAAATCATCTTCAAACTGTTTCACTTCTTTGCAAACCCCAACCATTGTTTTAGTGTATGTTTCGTTTCTCCATTTTTTAACATTGTTGACAACTTCTAGTAAACTATCCTTCATTTCAGAATGAATATTTGCCAAACACTCTGCTTCGTTCATAGAGTTTATCAAAACGGATTTGTTTGTTCCGTAGTCAGTACCTTCAAGCATATAAATTTAAATATTTTTTATAAATACACGGCGATTTTATATAAACGTCCAGTCATAAGATATACAAGGGTTCTATCAAGATATAAAAAATACAATCCTAATATCACTGCTTTTACTCAGTGCTAACTGGTTTCTTTCGCATTTTATTACTTCAAGCACAGTCTAAATTTAACAATTTTAAGTTTTTCATCGTCCAGTTTGTTGTACCCTTTACCCGTGTTGCGTAAATAATAATCGACGTAATTTATTTTAATTCTATGCCTTATTCTTTTCATTAATGTGCTATTTTGTGACATAATGTATGTAAGTTTACTAAAACCATTCATATCTCCTTTTAAAAGTAAACAGATGAACAAACAAAATTTTTTCGTCTTAAAGTATATTTTCTTAAATAAGCTGTTAAATAACTTAGTCATTAATCCTTCACTTTGTTAACATTGCCTTTATTAAGTCTTGTCACAACATATTACAATTTAAAAAATACCATTCCGATTTTAAATTCTTTTTAACTTTTTCACCAATTCTTTTCACTATCTCCCTCCCCAACTCTTACCGAGATCTTCCTTTCCAATTCCTACCGAGATCTCCCTCTCTATCCATATCCATATTCAGAGATGAGCTACACTGGCTTCGTATGCCAGAAAGAGTAACATTAAAATTAGCTCTACCTGTAAAAAATTGTTTGGCCGGGGATGCTCCAACCTACCTGAGGGAGCAGATCCAACCAGTTTCAGAAACTCAATACAGGGATCGACTGCGATCCTCCAACCCTGGTGACCTTATAGTTCCAAAACTCAAATCTTAACATTTTGGGAAAAAAAGATTTTCTGTATCAGCAGCCCAAACTCGCTGATCTAAAGAAACTCAACACCATAAGTCGAAGTGACTAAAAAAGCTTCTAAAAAAACTTCCCACAGCGAAGAAAGTGAAAAGAGCTCGTCTGAAGTCAATTTGAGGAGCGCTGTACAAGTTCTGTAATATGATACAAATTCTCATCGATATCTTCTTCTCCATTTCTTAACAAAAACTCCCTTTCTAATTCTTACCATGATCTTCCATTCCTAATATTACTAAAATCTCTCAAATCAAAACACGGTATTACATTTTACAGAAATATTTCACCAATTCTTACTGAGATCACCTCCTCCAGTTCTTAAAGACTTTCATCTTCCAATTCTTACAGAGATATCTTTCTCCGAATTTTACCAAGATTTCCCGCTCCAATTTTTAGCAAGATCTTACTTTCCAAATTTAACAATGAATTCCCTCTTATTCTTATTCACAAAAATTCTTAACAAGATGTTCCTCTCCAAATTCAACCAAAAATTCCCTCTTATTCTTATTCACAAGAATTCTTAGCAAAATCTTCATCTTCTAATTTTGCCAAGATCTCCTTATTCAATTCATACCGAGATCTCTCGAATTTTTACAGAAACATCACAAACTCTTACTGAAATCGCCCTCTACATTTCTTAGCAAAATCTTTTTTTCCAAATTTAGCAAAAAATTTTCTCCATAATTTTTACGGAAATCTACATTTGATTTTATATTAATATCCACCTTTCCAATTTGTACTGAGTACTGCTTATATATTGCATAATTCCCTTTTCATGTCGTACTAAGCTCTACCTCTTCAATTCTTATTAGACCATCTAAATATAATCATCACCTACCACGCAGTACTTATCAGGATCATTTTATAAAGCTCATATTAAGAAATCTCTTTCTCCAACTCGTATTAATATCCACCTATCTAATTTTTATCAACATCTATTTTTGATCTACTTCTCTAACTTTTATTAATATTCAATTCTCCAGTTCACATTAACATCTACCTCTTCAATTCGTATCAACAATCACCTCTCAAATTCATATAAACATCTACTTCTCCAGACGATATTTATCTCTCTTTCCTATTCTTATCTAAGAAAGATAAGCATATTTTTTGAACAGTCTCAAAGCTAATCTTAATCTGCTTCAATTCATAGTCTCTGTAATTCAATTTTTAAAATAAATAATAATCCATCATTTCAATTGGCCATGTATATCAAAAACTAGTGTGAACAATTTAGGTATAAAAATTAACCAGAGTAAAATATTCGGCAAATATGACAACAAAACTCGAAGAGCAACTTCACCGAACTGACTTAAAGATGATTCGTTAGATGCAGCATGCTTGGGTGCACTGGCTATAAGGCGCGTCCCAGGTGGTGAATAGGGGAATGTCCTGGGCAGGGATACATTCTAGGATTGCATCGAATAATACAGAATAAGATGCCGAGAACCAACTGTACCAGAAGAAAGAAGATAACGATGAAAGAGGCGGAAAATCCTAGGACAACGGCTCCAACAGCGGATGATCTTCGATTCTTAATCTACTGCCTTGTGGAACAGGAACCTTTGACCTAAAGGCTAGGTGAACTACTTACAACAGTGCTCTCTTGGGCACGAGATAAACTGCAACCGCACTGCCTTGTGTGCTTCCAGCAAAAAGGCTAGGCCCACTGCTTATAACCGGTGGTTGTCGTTAGGAATTGGGCAATTCCAGATAAAAGTTTTTTGACCCAAACATCTTCCGTGTCATCACAAAAAAAGAAAAGATCTCCTATTTCCTGGAAGACCTTAAATGGTCAAGGGGTGACAATATCCAGGAAGTACGCAAAAGTGGAGGGATGTTGCGGAAAATCGGGCATCCCCCCCTGGAATATCAGAATTGGCACTTTAAATACTGGATCGCTTACTGGACGTTCCATGAAGACTGTCAACATGCTAGAAAGGCGAAGGGTTGACATCTGTTCTCTGCAGAAAACAAGATGGAAATCAAATGGTGTCTCTTTCATTGGGAGTTACAAGTTGTTCTGGAATGACCAAAAGACAGCCTAAATGAAGTTGGAATCTTCATACGGGAACCACTGGCACAAAATGTACTGGAGGTAGTTCGAATCAGCTCACGCCTAATGCTGGTTAAACTCAGAATGGGAAAACAGGTTCTGACTGTTTTCTCTGCATATGAACCACAGACCAGTGAATCTGTCACTCTACCGAATAGCAAATCAGGCCAAAAGACTGAAAAAGGATATAGTTGGTGCCACGTGCATAAAGACCGATCAAAGAACACAGAAGCGAAATGTTAAGCTGCGATAACTCGTGCAAATCAATGCAAGGTATGGCTGTCTGGAAGTAAAAGCAAACAAATTCGGTCACTCTACCGAATAGCAAATCAGGCCAAAAGACTGAAAAAGGATATAGTTGGTGCCACATGCATAAAGAATAATAAAGGCACCATAATAACCTTGCAGAATGAGGTGAAGGATCACTGGAAGGATTACTTCGATCACTTATTGAATGAAACAAACTCTATTGGGATGGACTTTGATGCACTTACGGTGGAAGGACCAGGGAATCACAGCTGAATAGCTTAAGGATGCGTTGAAGGCAATGAAGGTGGGTAAAGCGGCTGGTCCGTTTGGACTTACAAATGAAATCATCAAGGCATCTGGTGGAGCAGGCTTCAGAGCCCTCTTACACATCTGTCGAGAGATGTGGGGTAAATCGATACACATCTGTCGAGAGATGTGGGGTAAATCGATACACATCTGTCGAGAGATGTGGAGTAAATCGATACTACCAGTGGAATGGAACAGTAGCACAACTGTGCCGATATATAAAGGAAAAGAAGATTCACTTAAATACTCCTCCTATCGGTGTATACGTCTTCTGGAACATCCCCTAAAAGTTATTGAAAAAGTCATTGAGAGAAGACTGTGCGTTTCAATAGGTGGTTACCAGTACGGCTTCATGGCAGGGAGATCCACCATTGGTGATATCTATATCATTCGTCAACTACAGGATAAATACATGGCAAAGCAAAAGCGACTGTTCCATGTCTTTGTGGACTTGGAAAAGGCTTTCGACAGAGTGCCTCGTGAGACAATCAGGTGGACTCTACGTAGACAGCTTGTTCCCGAATATCTGGTTCGACTGGTTATGGCAACGTACTCTAACGTGAAACTCTGGTCAGCACAACAGCTAGTAACACGAATGAATTTGATATTAACGTTGGCATCCATCAGGGATCAATACTCAGCCCCCTGCTCTTCATCATGATGATGGAAGAAATAACCAAACTATATTCAGATAAAATATGGAATGTGATATATGTAGATGATACCGTCCTGACGGCGGCCTCTTTACAGCGCAGCTCTGTAAAACGCAGAGCTGATTACATGTTATTTTATACTTAAATTTAAACCTCCGTGCCGCAAAGGGTGTACTATTCAGACGATGCACTTACACATTATGTATGCATGCGCAACCACCTTGTCATACGCATATGATAGTCTTTGAGTTTCGGACAGGCAGTATTCTAACCATGCCATGCAGTGGGAGATATGGCACTTTTACAGACTAAGCTAATTCAGTGACCAAAATTTTGACAAGTTAGTGCAGTTTAAACCTGCAATTGCAAATGAATATTAAAATATTATTCTCACTTTTGTCAATGTTTTCAACCCATTTTTTGGACCAAACTTTCAATTTATTAGAATACTTTAATTCAATTTCAGCACGTTCCTGAATCATCTTCATTAAATCATTGCACAGCAATAAACCATCTTCAGATCTTTTAACAACTCTTTTATAAGAATCAATCTCCCAAAAGCTGTCAGTAGGTACATCACAAGGCTCTTCTTTTGAAAACATTTTCACAGAACAGTCCTGAAAAATTAAATGTTCAAAAACCATATATGTATATCATAATCAAAATATTGTGAACATTATTTATAGGCTGTTTGTAACACTGCATCAGAAGACTCTTCAAATAAATTATGGTGTGGCAATTCAACATGGATGACATTGTTATGCAGCGATGCGGTACTTGTACTAGAGTGCCAATTTCAAGTACTTATATCTTGGTATATTATTTTCCTATTACTAATTATTTATAAATAAGCAATCTAATTTTTCCTTAGAATTGATGGTTAGAGATTTGTATACATAACAGATATCAGGGCGGGCGTGAGGTACGTGCAAACAGTGCGGTGCACGTGACCACGCGTTTTTAACGACCCCGTGTGTTCCATTGGAATTTATTCTCGTTACATTTGCATATTTTTGAAAATACTTTTAAAAACCCCTCATATGTTGGTAAATAATTATTTGTCGTCATCTTTTTATCACTTAGAAATAAAACACTACTTTCAAACTTAACAGGATTTTTTTTTTAGTTCCAGAGAATTATTTTTATTTTTTTAAATTTTCTGACCTGCTTTGTGCTATTTGCATATTTAAAAACTAGACTCCTAAGGTAATTTGCACATAACAAATTCAGAATTTGAACTGATTCGGAAATCCAGGCGTTGTACTTTTCTTGTTTACAAATAGAATTTTTGCTTTGACACAATGACTTGACTGGTGCTACCATATTTCCTTACCACTTGCTAGTCTGAACATTCTGGAAGGATTAACAGGAACATGATATTGCACAACTAGCTGGCATAAAAATTTTTAAAATCCCAAAAGATGATAAATAATATTTTGCTTAAATTGATTAAGCTGATTGATTATGATGATGACGGAGAAAACAATGGCCCTCAGTATCCGGCAGAAGAGGGTGCGAAGAATCTCCGGAGACCCAGTCGATGGGGTTGTGGTGCAAGGCCCTGTGGATGGTCTGGCTACTGGCACCCCACTCTATAGTGTGGCGGTGCAAGGCACTATAGATGGAAGGACTACTTGTAGACCAAGGGGTTGGAGGTTTGGTACCTGGAATGTAGGCACGTTGACAGGAAGAAGTTTGAAGTGGTGGAGGAGCTGCAGAGGAGAATG